CATTGCTATACAAGATGAGAATTCCTCTGATTCCTAACCTCCTGAGGATCCCTCTCAGACCCCTCCAACCTCCAGCGGGGATGTACATGCGTACGGGTCTTAGAAAAATTGTCGCCAATGCTGTTCACATCTCTTTGTGTTTCTGATAGCAATTCCAGTCAATCAATTGAACCGTATAGAATTTAGAGCCCAAGCCTACTAGGACAAGACAAGCTAACAAAGCCGCTAAACGCAGTAACAAAAGGGATACCTGGTCAAAATTGTGTTCAAACCATAATCTTTACCTTCCCACGTTTTGTCCGCAGTTCAGTCCCTCGAACTCACTTCCAAATTAGATACGCGGCCGGCGTGTCGGCATAACATGGTAAAGCTATTTATGGCGCTTCAACTCTCGGCATATTAAATTTTTCGCTTTAATATAACGACATGTCGCCAGATCTGTGGGAAATTTTTGTAATTTACGTTCTCGCTTATGCAGAAAATGGAACTGATAAAAGTGGTGAAAACTTTGCGAACGATTATTATATTAGTGACCGCACATCCTGTGACATCTGCCCGCCCTGGAATGTAAGTGTGCAAGGTTTAGTTCGATTGATTTGGAGGAATTTTCCTGTTTGGGATATACGAACATACATGCATACATACATACAGACTAAAGTAGAGGTATTGAGCATCGTATATAGATTGAAAAAGATGCGTCCTCCTTATTGTGCCTCTATAGCGAGTTCATTTTATCCTTGTGTTGCTTGTTGAATGAGAACCAAAAGACGCGGAAAAAGTCACCAAAAAGACGACAAGAAGAGGATGAACATTTGAGAATGTACCAAAGATTAAATTTTTCGAACGCACTACTTGAATATAGAGATGTGCACAGATCATTACGTTTACTGGTGAATAGTATTGAGGCATTTCGTACATTGCAGTTAAGAGTCTTGAAATTCTGCAGTACCAAAAGAATTTATTCGCAGTGTTAGTCTGAGATAGCGAACTTGTCTGGGGAGCTTACAGTAAGTCATATTCATATCTTCCAACCAAGACATTCTGCTTACATGAGTGAGTTCAGCTTTCTGCTTTTGGCCATTTTAGAAAGCATTACATTCGTCAGCTCATCCTCGTTTTTATGAAAACCTTACCATTACGCAGCGTTGACTCTCAGGAGCATCAGGTGCACCCACAACCCAAGCTAGATAGTCAACTTTCGTGCCGTCAGTCCACGTCCATACTTTTCTTCCTGTACCTCTAGCTTCTAGACCGATCCAGGTCAGTTCATCAAAATATCTCCATTCCTTACCCATTCTTGCCAGCTCTAAATCAAATTTGAATCATGTTGGTACTCTATAGGTGGTACACGACGTACACACCACTTTTGTACAAGCCGCCTCACATAGATTCAAAGACAGCGCCCA